ATTTAAGTATTATATTTACTCTACAAAATATTCTAGTAGGTATAAACAAAAGCTAATATAAAATGTAAGTCCTCATAGGATAGCTGTAGAAATGCTGAATATTTTCCCCACAGCTAGGGGACTGCCTCATTCAATTATATGCTCCATTTTGCACAGTAGAGAGCATCAAATAATTGATTCACAAGTCATAGCTGAACTGAAACTTGGGAAAGCACCAAGGAATATCTGAGACAATTAAGTTGAGCTAAATGCCTTAATGTTGGTGAGAACACAGCATCTGTGGGAGCTTTTGGGGAAAAAATATGTAGAGCAAGTAAATAGGAAAAAATGAAACCAAAGAATAGTTTTGAGAGGTTTTTGTAGGAAATGAAGTTTTAAAACAATGTCTTAACCTCATATATTTTTTCACAGTATATGAAATGGCAGAAGACTATACCTGCAAATCATTCACTGTTTTACTTTCTTTTCTTAGTGTCTGTGTATGGTACAAAAACTCTATGCTTTACCTCCAGATTATTTAAAATATTTAAAAGACATTGTTTTATTCTATTTTTGTTTGTTAAGGAAATGAACAGAATAGACAGATACTTAATAGAAAGTTCTGATACCTCTAGGTTAGGAATTAAGGGAACAAATGAGAGTCAAGTAGTGGTAAATAAATTTGTGTTACAGATTTTACCATTTTCCCTGGCAAATGGAATAATTACACTGCCTTGTTCTCATTGCCTATAACATAAACTTAAAATAGCCCTGTGTTCAAGAGGCAATACGATGAAAGTGTGAATATGCGTGCTCCATCAGCATTTCCTGCCAGAAAATTTTCTACAGTGTGTGGGTATCCTAAGCTGAGGTGCCATTACTTTACGAAAGAAGCACTTAATCTAATTGGAAAAGCTCAATGCTATTGGCTTAGGATACAGGGTATGTCGTATGCATTTCTGCCTGGCACATAGTAGACACTTGATGAATACTTATGGACAGAATTTCTACAGCCTGAGTGAGCCTCCTTGGAGGTTAGAGATGATATTTATCTTCATTACAATGGGGTCATCCTATCTTAACGATTTATTGAGTCATTATTTTTATATAATAAATTTATGGTTTATTTTTCTGGAGGAGAACATGGAGAGTAATGAAATACTATTTTGGAAGTTGCTTGAACTTCTTCAATAAATGCTTCACCTAAATGGAAATGCTACATTATTTTAGTAGAAGGTATTCTATTTTTATATTACGGCCAAAAGGGACGAGAAGCAAAGATGTGATTGCAGTATGTGAATCATCTTTAGTTCTTGCCACAAGTGTTGGATATAGCATTATTGCCCTTTTTTGTTATATTGTAAGGAAGAATTAGAGATGGTTATTGTTTTCAGAGGGATTGCTTCTGCACTGAAGTCTTAGCCATTTATGCAGGCTGAGTCTTTGGGGAAGAATTTATCATTCTTGCTTTCCAAGAGAAAGCCCATGTTAGGCCACCATGTCCCTGAACTCAATGATAGTTTCAAATAAAGCATCTGAACCCTATAGTTTTAAGAGCAATAGAAAGAAGTGCTGGCTGCTCTTGATGACTAAGTTTGTCATGCTACAGCTCTTATTTGCTGGGCAGCTTTATGGGAGTAAACTGATTCACAGTCATCAGGGGAGAAAGGTCAATTTGTGGAGTGTAGCTTTCCCTTTCATCACCATACTTTATAGCCTTGTTGGTGATTTCATTATCCGATATCAAACTAGTCAGTTTGGTCTTGTTAATGCTTTTCCTTAACCTATATATTTTTCTGCCATAAACAAAGGAGAGCTTCATATGTTGGATATGGTATTTTTCCATTTCAGCTATTTCAGACTGGGATCACTGACACCATGGTCAACAAAGAAGGTCTCATTAATTGGCTTGGGGTGGTCTGGCTTGTATACTGAGCACTCCTCCTCCCCTTTATCCCTCTCCCTATTCCCATCAATTTCAGGAGTCTGAGATGATCTACGAAGTCAGCAGAGTTGGGTGTCGCTAGAGAAATGGCCCTGGAAGAAAGGCATCTTGGGAAGTGTATTAAGAAGTCATTTCACAGCTGTCAGAGCAAAGCAACCGTTCTCCCTCAGGCCTTGGATTTAGCCTTTGTACCCACAAAGTACAATGACCATAGGAAATCTTCATGGGTCATTCTATTCAGTTAAGAAACCTTAAGTAGATACAGAGAGTCAAAAGCATTTAAAACCTGTCTGTGGATTAGTGTAGGCTGTAAGATCACTAAGCATAATCTGTCAATATAAAACAAGCATTCCTATATAAAAAAATAATACTATATGCCGTTTGTGGCAAATACTTCCTCTTCTTCTTCTTTTTTTTTTTTTTTTTTTAACTTGGGGCATTTGACCACCGAGCCGCATGCCAGCCCTATTTTGTATTTTATTTAGAAACAGGGTCTCTCTGAGTTGCTTAGCATCTCGCTTTTGCTGAGGCTGGCGTTGAACTTGTGATCCTCCTGCTTCAGCCTCCCTCCTGAGCTGCTTGGATTATAGGCGTATGCCACCGCACCGGGCTTCCTCTTCTATTAAGTTATAGTTCCATTGATAATCTATATGAGCCAGTTTGCATATAAGTGAACCATATAAGACATAGGTCTCATTCCATAATAAATCTGATAGTTTCATTTAGTGTTTCTCTTGTCCTCATGGTATTCTGGCATATGGATTGCTGAACTGTGTGGACTGTATCTGTCACGATCAGGACTATCAGAGAGAAAGAAAGATGTATGTTCAGTTTGTTCCTCATTTAAACTTCCAGAGCCTATGTAGTACCTGACACAATAAGCATTTTTCTGTTTTCAGAAATGAAAATTTAAGCCAAAGAAAATCTGGCAAAGGTCTTTCAGGTTATCAGAATTCTAGGCAGAAAGTCTATGCCTGTGTCCCCAGATCTGTCACTTAGAATTACACATACACAGCACAATTTTTCATATCTCTTGTTGTATATAAAGTGTATTGACACCAATGTGTGTCTTCATACATGTACTTTGGATACAAAGGTATTTCTGTATATCAATGACAAATCCTCTGAGAAGGAAATGAGGAAAACTACTCCATTTACAATAACCTAAAAAAAAAAGATACTTAGGAATCAACTTAACAAAAGAGGTGAAAGATCTGCACAATGAAAACTACAGAACCCTAAAGAAAGAAATCAAAGAAGACCTTAGAAGATGGAAAGATCTACCTTGTTCTTGGATAGGCAGAATCAATATTATCAAAATGACTATACTACCAAAAGCACTATACAGATTTAATGCAATTCCGATCAAAATCCTAATGGCATTCCTCATAGAAATAGAAAAAGCAATCATGAAATTCATCTGGAAAAATAAGAGACCCAGAATAGATAGCTAAAGCAATCCTTAGCAGGAAGAGTGAAGCAGGTGGCATCACTGTACCAGACCTTAAACTATACTACAGAGCAATAGTAACAAAACCAGCATGGTATTTGCACAAAAACAGACTGGTAGACCAATGGTACAGAATAGAGGACACAGAGACTAACCCACAAAATTACAATTATCTTATATTAGACAAAGGTGCCAAAAACATGCATTGGAGAAAAGATAGCCTCTTCAACAGATGATGCTGAGAAAACTGAAAATCCATATGCAACAAAATGAAATTAAACCCCTATCTCTCACCATGTACAAAACTTAACTCAAAGTGGATCAAGGACCTAGGAATTAAAGGAGAGACCCTGCATCTAATAGAGGAAAAAGTAGGCCCTAATCTTCATCATGTGGGATTAGGCCCCAACTTCCTTAATAAGATTCCTATAGCACAAGAATTAAAACCAAGAATCAATAAATGGGATAGAATCAACTAAAAAGTTTCTTCTCAGCAAAAGAAACAATCTGTGAGGTAAACAGAGAGCCTACATCCTGGGAGCAAATTTTTACCCCTCACACATCAGATAGAGCACTAATCTCTAGTATATAAAGAACTCAAAAAGCTAAGCACCAAAAAACCCAAATAACTCTAATGGTTATGTATATGGATATTTCGTCTCTTCCCACCAGATGGTGATGCTAGATAAATAGAAGGTACTGAATAGTGAATTGAATTTATTTTTCATAACACACACTAGTACCCTGCTTAGAGGGCTACAGCCCTTTTACACATTTGCATGCATGTATGTGTGTTTGTGTGTTTTGGAAGTCTGCTGGAATCACCAATTTGCAAAGGTACATGAATGAAAGATGCACAGTTTTTAGAAGAATTAAATGAACTTTTTACAGGTCTAAAACAAGCCTTTAGGATCACGTCTCCAGCTTCCTCTCCATTTCCTAATGAAGCTAGAAAGATTAAAATATCTGGTGGGTAGATGTGGCTCTGCATTTCAAGCATCTTCACAGTCTCTCATCACTTTTGATGATTTAGTAATAATGTAGGGTGCAGCAAGGTAGTTGACGTTCTCCCACAGAATATCAGAATTGTTTTTCATTTTAATATACTTTTTAAACTTAAAAATCATAAAATGTTCCTTAGAATGACATCTAAGCTTCAATATTTATGACATTCCAATTGCTCTAGCCGTTTAGGAAAAAATTAAAATGAGCCCTCAAGTAAAATTTAAGTGGAAAAGATTAAAATTCAGAATTATGGACTTTTCTCATTTGAATGAATCCTCACTTTTTTTTTCCTGGAAGTTTTATGTGCGAGGCCTAGATTCCTTATATTTGACATTCCTTCAAAAAGTAATTCATTTCTCTCTTGAAAATACATGAACCATTTTATTTTTTGAAAGTAAACCCTTTCGGATCAGTACAACTTACCCCACCCAGATTTTGTACTCTCTTTTTAACTACAAACCCAGCGTCCATCCTGCCGAAGATGGGTTCATTCTGGGGCACAGGCTGGGATCTTTTGAGTGAGTGAAAGTGGATCAATGACAGGACATAAAGTGAAGCTGACTCCTTTCCCTGCAGAAAGCCCTTCTGAAGCCCAGCCTGATCTGATGCCCGGTTACTCACTCTTGCCAGGCTGGTCCCAGATGGAACTTTGTAAGGAACATACTTCCTGTAGATATGACCAACTCTAGAACAGGGAACATCAAACATTTCTCCTCCACACATCCAAACCTAAAGAGGGGAAAGTACAACAAAAGAGAACAGTGAATTTCAAAAAGGATAATTCAACATAATAATTCATAAAGGAATTATTAACAGGATTCATACAAGAGCTTAAAACTCTCTTAAAGTTGATCAATGAATAATTTCTGTTTTAAGTGGCTAACCAAGAAAACACTTTTAAAAATAAAAAATTAGAGTTTTATAGTTATAGTAGTTGGGTTTTTCCTGACAAATTCGTGCATGCATGGAAAATCAATTTCAGTTCATGACCTGGATTTTCCATTCCCTTCTCCCTCCAGTCCTCTCCCCTCCCTTCTACTTCCTCTACTCTATTAGATTTCATTTTGCTTTCTATTAATTTGTATTGGATTGGCCCTTTATGTAATATTATCCTCCCCTCCTTTTTCTTTATTTTACTTTAGTATCCACACATGAGAGAAAGTATTCAACCTTTGAGTTTCTGAGTTTGGCTAAATTCACCTAGCATGATATTCTGCATTTCCATCTGTTTACCTGCAAATGCTATAATTTCATCCTTTTTTATGGCTTAGTAGCACTTCATTGTGTGTGTGTGTGTGTGTGTGTGTGTGTGTGTGTATCTCACAATTTCTTAATCCATTTGTAAACCCAATTTCTAAATCTGGGTTGATTCCATAATTTAGCTATTGTGAATTGTACTGCTATAAATATTGAGGTGGCTGTATTGCTATAGTATGCTGATTTTGGATCTTTTGGGAAAATACCAAGGAGTGGGATAACTGGGTCTTATGGTAGTCTCATCCCTAGTTTTTTGAGGAATCTCCATGCTTCTTTCCAGATTGGTTATACTGGCCGAGTGGTTGTACAGTCCCACCAACAATGTACAAGTGTTCTTTTCTCCCCCCAACCTTGTCAGCCATTTATTGAAAAACCCATATTTTAGAAACCTAGGTTCATAAAAGCATAGAACAAAAATACTTGTTCAGTAAAATATTATTTCCGTATACAATATGTTGGCTTTTAAAAAAATTCTGGTAGAATTTTATCACAAATATTGTATTGAACCAGCACTTAATGCTTTGACATCTTATTTATATAGATATTTGTTAAGATAATCTGATTGTGAAATCATATGAAGATATAAATCATATGAAGATATGAATTAAAGTTTCAGTCCAAAAACTTAAAATATAAAAAGTGGAATTTTTAAAATAGATGAGTGAGTTAAAAAACCCAAACACATTCATGCTTTAAGTTAAATCTAGTTTCTGAAACAGCAGTGTTAAATATCCTTATCACATTTTTATCTCTAACCACCACTAATCTTTTTTAAGGTACAGATAATCATTGACTAGTAATGTTGATTCAGAAAATATTGAAGTCAAGGTATGTGTTAAGATGCCATATTTATATATAGTAACAAAAGCTAATTGGTCATATTTTGCTATGAATACACACACATATTATCAGGTTCTACATAACAGACTAGGTGCTATAAAAGGGATAATTATCAAAACACAAATCTAGGCTTTTACACAGGCTATATTTTTAGCAATTTTCATTGCAAGAAAAAAAAGACTTAAAAGAGCTTTAGAGTGGAGGGCATCTGAAGTACTAGCTACTATCTGTTGAACTCATGAGTTCAAGACCAACCTGGGTTATATAGTGAGACCTCATTTAAAAAAAAGAGAGAAATATATTAACTGATTAAATTTATGTATCAATCTGATATCAAACTATACTACATATAGCTTGTTTTAAAGTGTAATCCTGAAAAAGATAAAGAGAAATGTTTATGTTATCACTTAAATTTCTTTCAAACTTCTCTAAGAGGATTGCTACCTCAGGAGAAAATTGGTTGAATTATGTATATTCACAAGATACTAATTTTACAAAAAAAAATTGTAAATAAATATAAATATCAGCAGAGTAGAGGAAGGGAAACCGGGGAAGGGAGGAAAGAGAGGTAAGGGTAAGTACTGGAGACTGAATTTGAGCAAATTATTTATTCCATGCATTTATAAACATGTCAGAATGAATCCTAATGTTATATATAACTAATATGAACCAATGAAAACAGAGAAGGGTTGAATAAGTAGTGATATGGTAACTGGAAATCTAAGGAAAAGCAATGAAATTATTTAAAAAATACTCTCTCAGATAGTTAGTACTAGAGGTGCATGCTACTGTACCCCACTCTAAAGCTCTTTTAAATCCTTTATCTTGCACGTTTTTACCCACTTTGGTTATTCCCTTTATAAAGGTATATAAAATTAGGACTTGGATGTTGTTTAGTGGTAAAGCACACACCTAGCATGCATAAAGCCCAGGGTTTAATCCCCACATCAAGTATACTTAAAATTTACCTGGAAATCAGCAGAAGATTTCAGGCCTACAGATAGATCTGGGCCCTCGAGCCCTAAACTATCCATAGTACATTGGTGATATGTATTTTGTGCTACTTAGTTTTTTTTTAAACCTCTCCTTCTGTGGAACAGTGGATATGTTAGATCCTGGAACATCTTGCTATATTTGCCCTTTTTATTTTAAATCTTATATAACTCCATTCTCTTGATATCTTTCCAGTTGTTGATTCTATAATTTAGAATGTTTGTGGATCCTACCAACTCTATATCATCCACATGCATTTCTGATGTCTTGATCTCAATGACTAATAAATATCTCATCAAATAGAAATTAATACCACGAGTAGTCCTCAACTCAATTAAAGCAACTGAATATTGTTTTAATAATTTCATTGCTTAATGATTTTAATTATTCTTATAAGAAAATGAGGTGAATAGTCTTGATAAAATTCAGAGAAACTCTTCAAATATTTGAAAAACCTAGTATTTGTATGAGATATTTTATAGAACCCCCAAGGAGATAGTACCAGGATTGATAGCATAGAACTACAAGAGGATAGATTTCAACCTAGTGGGAGGAAGACATTCCTAATAGAACATGATTGATTAAAGATGAAATGGGCTTCCTGTGTCCTAGATTTGTTGAAATCTGCAGTAGATGGCATAGTTGATGGATAGTACATGGATAGTTAATCCAGCTGATATTTTAAGGTAATTCTAATAGCAAGAACTAACATTTATGAATATATTTGTACCATTTTCATGGATTATTTGATGAAAACGTTAGGCTCACAACTCAATGATAGACTATTGTTTCTCCAATTATATAAACAGGAAAATGGCAGTCTAGAGAAGATAGTATCTTGTTCAAAACTACATAACTAGTAGCCTCCAGAACTGAGATTTGAAATTTAGTGGTCTAACTCTAGAATCCCTATGCATAATCAATATTTTACCCACAGAGTTAGTAAACTTGTCTGTAAAGGGCCACATTGTAAATACTTTTGCCTTTATAGGTCAGAGGGTCTCTTTTGCAACCTCTCGAACTTGGTAATATGTATAAAACTTTGTTTATAAAAATAGGCAGTGGGTCATAATTTAATTGACCTTCTTCTATAATGTAGAAAGTACTTCAAAATGCTGATATTCAGTGATTCTAAAATTATATATGTGGGATATTATATTTTCCAAAATTGAATGCCACAGTATCTCCTATTGCACATGCTCTTCTTCTAATTGACTTTGGTAGCCTCTGACTGAGATGTGGATCTAGGTCCTCTCTCTTTGAGTAGACATGTGGATTCTTAAACCTGTAGAGTACAGCAAAAATGTCTGAGACTATGCCACAGGCTATGTTAAAGGCAATGCAACTTGTACTCACTTTCTGGGGCACTCATTTTTGGCATTCTGAGCTGCCATGTAAAAAGTCTGACTCCTTAAATTACCTAACCTTAATTTGAAGAAGTCCAGGACCAATGAGGTTCTATGTGTAGATTCTTAGGTCAGCAGCTCAGTTGAGTTTTCAACTGATGGCCACCATCAACTGTCAGATACATGAACCAAAGAGTTCTCTAAATGACTCTTGCATATAACTGTTGAGTCACCCAGGCGAGACTCCATATATTATGGTATAGAAACTTGTGCTTGTTTTGAATTTGGTACCCACAGAATCCATAAATAAAATGATTGATTGGTGTAGTAAATTTTCTGGGTACTGTGTTATGCAGCAATCGAAATCAGAACTGTATATTTTCAAATCCAAGATAAAGGCGAACTGCTAAGAGATAACCAATGTGTTTGGATCCCCTGCACATTTCATCTTACCAGGAGATACAGGGCTGGGACTCTCCAATTTCTATGCTCATTTCTTCCTAGGCAAACTGCCAACATATAATTTCTTTGTATTTAGATGACCCATGTGATTTGAATGTGAATGGAAGTGATGTGTGACACTCTGGGACCAAGAAATTATGAGTGAATTTCTTTCTCTATCGTCTTCTTAATTTATTTTTTTCCCCAGAGTCTCATCAATTGGAGAAGATCAAGAGAGGACTTCAGGCCCTGGGAAATGGTGGAGTCATTAAATGGACAGGGTCTGGGTTCCTGAAAAATTGCAGAGAGCAGTGCCTACTCCTTGTGTTATGGGCCAGGCTATATGGGCAATGACCAAACAGACTCCATTTTACTCTGAGACTCCATGTCATATAAGAAATGCTTCTCCCATGGGAACACTCCACCTCTGTACCTATCAATAGTTGCTTAGCTTAGCATGTTTGGCAACACAAAATGGCGATTCTTATACAATGCAAAATTGTTCTCTCTTTGGTTTCTATTTTTCTTGGGCAATGTAACCTGTCAGACACTGGTTGTCTAGACATTAGTAACCATTCTCTAACTTGTACTCAACTAGGGTCATTTTGACCCACTTCCCTTCTGCTTGCTTGCTGCTAGGCCAACCTGGAAAGTCCCATGGGATACCAATGTACCCATTGCATTGTTTCCCTAACTGCTCAGTTCAGCCTCTATATCCCTGATTGCTTACAGATACATCAATCTGGATGTGGTTTTTGCCTTTAAAGACCCTGAAATGCTCAGACTTGGGGCTGTTCCTTGCAGAGACAGTCGCTGGCTGGCTGGCTAACTAAAGACTCTCCAATTCAGACA